ACCTTGGCATAAGAAGACCAAGGAAAGGTCAGCAGAGTCCCATGTTTCTCTTTCTACTTTTGAAGTTAAGTACACCCAGACACATAAGGTGTGATTTTCATGAAGATCACAAGGCTGGAAAAAAAAAAACTTGCTAAACCCTCAGAAAAGTCTTTGGTATGAAGGTGCTATTCTAAGTGGTTGGCTAATTCTTGAGGATCCTTGGGTTAGTCCTTTAGGTATTCATGTGATGAGAGTACACCTTTAGGCTCACAAGCCTATCAATTACTTCTGGCACTCGCTTTAGCTTCTCACCCTCTACACCCCTGTCATTGCTTAGAGTAAAAATAAATAAAATGTATCTCTGCCTTTGTGGGTTTTTTTTCAATACAGGAACTCTGGCTCTAGTTCTTGTGTTAGTTCCACATCTGGAACTCTGTGTAAATTTTTTTCCCCAAAAACTTGTGGTAAAAAAATAAAGTATTCCATTGACACAACATGCCTCATAACAAATAGTCTGGGGTGTCTACTTTCCAAAAAGAGGTCATATGGGGCGTGGGGGATTGTTCAGACTGCATCCAATCTGCATATATGTGAACCAGCACTAACAGGTCCAGCAGAGCATCATTTCTAGCTATGGATTCTATGAACTGTACCATAAAATTGTGTTGAAATAGGTTTATAAATGTACACCCTTTTACTGTTCTAGCAGTGCCCGTCCTCAAGTCTATTTTAGGGTACTTAAATTATTATCACCGAATCAGCCCTTTCTATCTGTGCAAGGAACTAATTCTCCACTTCCTTGTTAACACTCGGTGGCCTGTAACAAATGCCAATCAACTTTGACATATGCACACCTACAGTATCTCACAGAAGTGAGTACACCCCTCACATTTTTGTAAGTATTTTATTATATCTTTTCATGTGACAACACTGAAGAAATGACACTTTGCTACAATGTAAAGTAGTGAGTGTACATCTTGTATAACAGTGTAAATTTGCTGTCCCCTCAAAATAACTCAAGAGGGGTGGACTCACTTTTATTGCCAGCGGTTTAGACATTAATGGCTGTGTGTTGAGTTATTTTGAAGGAACAGCAAATTTACACTGTTATGCTGTACACTCACTACTTTACATTGTAGCAAAGTGTAATTTCTTCAGTGTTGTCACATGAAAAGATATAATAAAAAACATTTACAAAAATGTGAGGGGTGTACTCACTTCTGGGAGATACTGTATATCCTATATGCATCTTCACCATCACATTCTCCATCCACAAGGTCCTCTTTCACATTCACTTTGAGATCACTTCTCCCATAGAGACAGACATCTCTATCTTTACATTTTACCCTGTTTCGCTGAAAGAGCATAGCCAGGAATATACTGCAAACAGCCCAATTGTGTGAAGAATGAAGCCAAGATTCAGCAATACCAATTAAAACATAGTTCTCTTCATGCACCAAAGCCTCCAACTCACCTATTTTTCTTGACAGAATTCTGGCTTTGGTGAGCAAACACTTTAATTCATAGTTGTATTTTGCATGTGTGTATTCCTTTTTTTTTTTCTACAAATAGTACTATAAATTTCTAATGGTTGTGCCAATGGGAATGGTATCACATGTTATAGCCCCTCCCCCCATATTCCACCCACCATTAGGATATGATATCTGACTAACCTGTCTGCCCCATTATGTTCTAATTCACCCTCCCCCCCCTTAGTCATAGTTTAACCACTTCTATACTCTTTTACCCCCTTCCTGCCCAGGCCAATTTTTTGCTTTCACACTTTACAATTACTCAGTCATGCACTACTGTACCCAAATTAAATTTTTATAAATTTTGTTCACACAAATGGAGCTTCTGTTGGTGGTGTTTGATCATCACTGGGTTTTTTTCATTTCAGTGTATATTATTTAGTCTATAGGAAAGTTATAGAGTCTACAAACTACAGGATATTCATTTGAAAATTGATCAATCCTGATGTACTGACAGCCCCTCTCATTTCTTGAGGCCCGAAAATTCCAAGAAAGTACAAATACCCCCCAAATTACACGTTTATGGAAAGTAGACAGTCCAAGGTAATTAGGAAGAGGCATGGAGAGTTTTTTGAAGTTGTAATTTATTGGAAAATTACTTTTAAAAATGTGTTTTCACATTTTTTTTTTCCCCCAAACTGTCACCAGTGCGGTACAGCGTCATCATATAACAGACACTGACTGGTGACAGATGTTTAAATTTAATTTTTCTTATTACTTTTTACATACTGTAATCAGGGCAGTACATAGTAACACTGTACTACTCTGATGAGGCGAGTGTGTGTAGCTTTGATTGGCCAAAGCTAATGACATACAGATGGGTTGTGATTGGCCCTGGCTGCAGTATGTAGTTACACAATAAATGGCTAGGAATGGAAGCCATCCATCATGTACAATTGCCATGTAATCTGCTGTGATAGGTTACAGTGATCACATGGTAGCAACACCAGCTTGGCACACTGATCTGTCATCCACTGTGTCCGGTGGACACAGCAGGTAACAGTTCACACCACAACACAGCCCGTGAGGTTGCGTTCTTGGGAGGCCATCATATGATGTACACAAAGAACAAGAGAGCTCCCACCTGGCCTATTGTAATAGGACTCTCTTGTTGAAGCAGTTAAATACTCCTCCAGCCCAGCAGATTTAACAACCTGTGCAAACCATCTTTAGCATATAGGTTGCACCATAATGGAAAGTCAGCCCAGGGCTTTAGAAACCCAAATCCTACCTTCTTACACCAGGTCTTTAGTCATGCATTCAGTTCTCTAATCTTCCCGTGTTTACTATGTTGTGCATGGCACAGGCTAATATAACCATTCTTCCCTTCTACATCTACAGCCTAGCTCTTTAAATTGATTCTTAAGGAGCCTCCATCTCTCATGTATACTCTCATTGGTCCCAACATGAACCAAGACAGCCGAGTCATGCCCAGCCCCCCCCATTTATCAATCCAGTCTACCACATGCCAAACCCTGGCACCAGGGAAATGGCAAACCATTCGGTGGAGGTGATCCTGGTGACAAATTATTATATCTCAGTCTGATTATAGAAATCCCAATTACTACCTAGGTCTAATACTGTCTAGGCTTTCCTGCACTACGCCTACTAGATGGGCTGCTCTCCCAGCTGTTAGGGGTAGCAGTGACAGCTAGGACTGTCACCCCCACATCTTCACTCAACTTGGGCAAATCTGTTTGGGTGCTCAAACACAGGACTGGCCTTTTTTTTGTGAGCTCCTACCACTCTCTCCAATTGCATTAACCCTTTCCTCCTATCTGATAATCCTGCCCTCCACAACAACCCCATTGACTACCTGCCCAGTGAGCAGAAGACCTCTTTTAACCCCTTGATGCCAAGCACACTCAAATATCTGGCCTCTGGGCCTTGAAGCCGAGTGGCCGCATATTTGTGTGCCATTAGAAAATACATATGTGCTGAGAGCGCGCTCCCAGCACATATGTCCGTGACTCATGGAATGGTCCTGATCTCCCCTTGCGATCGAGACCTTTTCTGCTCATTTGACCGCTGTGACGGCGAATCACGTTGGTCACATGACCCTAAAACCCCGCCCGCCTCCCGGCTTCTTAAACTCTTAAAGGGCCGGGAGGCGACGGCACGAAGTGGTTAAGGTTGTTTGTTCTACTCAGTCTTGTAAATTTGCTCCTCCTGATCTCTAATGTGAGCTTCCAGAAGTGCAACCTGTTCACATCTGTTGCAGCACTATTCATTCTGGAGCGGTTTCTCCATTATCGTATACATGTGACACAGTAAGCACTGCGCAAAATCTTCAACCTTGCTAGCACTCATTATGCCAGTGACAATATTTATATTAGTTGCAGGAAATTTATGATGTTACTTACAGTTTCTCGGACTCTTGTTTTAACTTCTGGTTTTCAACTCCTGATGTTTAACCCCATTTTGTCATTTTGCCAAGCAATAGCAAAAAACAGCACCACCAGCATATAGAAACAAAATAACTATTTAAGCCACATAAGTCCATGCCCTGGTACCAGAGGGCATCTGGAACTAAAGGGAATTTACCACCAACATTCAAATTCCCCAAACCCATGAGAGGCTGAACGCTAGTGGGAGCTGCAGTAGAGAGGAATCCTTTATATTCTATTCTGCCACAAATCCCATTGTAACAAAGTTTTATTGCCTGTTGATCCTGCCAAAAGGTCTGTATTTTTTGCACTTTCTTAACAGGCTGACAATTCTTTTCATTCTGAAGTGAACTCACACAGAAGAACTGCCACCCTACGGCCAGGGTAGTCTTCGATGGACGTACAGTTGTAAATAGGCTTTAAAGCTAAACTTCCGCTCTGCCCTACTCTTCTACTTTTGGTACTTTTTTGTGGGGGGGGGGGGGGGGGTTGAGGGGATGAGGTACCTGCTGCAATTCCTCAACCGTTCCCGCAGTTGGGATTTAAGTGTCCTCACATTAAAGCCTCCAGTATATTTTGACAAGAAAGCTAAAGCAATACTTTATCAATGTCCAAACATTTTTTTATGCCTAACTGTAGTGTCATTCACTTGGCAGGTGCTTCTCACTTCCATCAAGTGCATTAGTGCTAAACTTATTGGTCTGTCTCCATGTATTAGCTCAAATGCATGTAAAATAATTCTGACACTAAAGCCTCTGAAGTTTACAAATGTAGCTATAATATATCTTCTTCCCAATAGTCTGTATTTTAATAATAAATTATAAAACAAAAAGCACAAAATGTTACAACTTGAAAAAAGTAAATACACCGGGGAAAAGGGGAAAAAAAAAAAACAAAAAAAAAAACAAAACACCACAGTACACAAAAATGTGTATTCTGTCCTCTTACAGTCAGTCCAGTCTTCTAACATTTTTCACTATTTAATATCCATTTTCACTTCATCACTGTGGCTCTACAGCTATTTTGGTGAAAAGAATTTAGTAATGGAACAGAAGCATTAACAACACAGTCAATCTAGTCTCTTCTCGGTGACCACAATCTATCTGCTTCCAAAGTATTCCTTTTCAAAACGTTTGAAGTCTGAATCTGAGAACACAGATTTCTTTTGCACCCTCTTTTTCTTCTTTACCTGCTTGTCTCTTGCTTTCCGTCCGCAGTGCTGATTTACAATCTAGAAGAAGGAAAGAACACGTTTGGTATCAAAAGAACATCATATGTAGATTGTAGTATAATGGGCTTACTTAGAGATACAGCTGGGTAGGCCTACAAACCAGTATACCATAAGTTTCTCATGTACCCTGGAAACTGCAAGTAAAATTTTATATACATACACACACACACATTATATATATATACACACACAATATACTGTATATGTGTGTGTGTGTGTGTGTGTGTGTGTGTGTGTATGTATATATATATATATATATATATATATAAAAATAAATATAATTTTTTATATTTTTTTTTTATTTTTTTGCTTTTTTACTTTTTGCTATACAACATCCATTAAAATAAAAAAAAAAAATTTCTTCATAAAAAATCCAGATACGTGTAAATTAATTGCTTTATGTGAAAGTTATAGTGTCTACAAATTGCGGTATATATACTGGAATTTTTATTTATACTAGTAATAGTGGCAATCAGCAACTTATTGCAGGACTGCGATGGGTATTCTGACACTGGGTGGGAACTAACTGCCACTGACACCAGTACAGTGATCAGTGATAAAAAAAAAAAAAAAAAAAAAAAAAAAAAAAAAAAGAAGAAACCCCCACTAAAAACCGCATACGTGAAAAAATGTGGCAAAACAATAATACAAAAATGCTAAAAAACTCGTTTTTAACCGTGACTTTACAGTGTTAGCAGCATTATTAAAATGTCCAGTGTGCATGGAGCCTCACAGAGGACAGAACATAGGTAACAGCTGCAGAATGAATGATCACTTTGGTAGCCAATTAGAGTTCTCTGGGTCATGATCATTAGCAGAAGACCCAGGGCAATCACTGACAGCTTGGGCTCTATGCTGGGAGGAGAAGATCGAGTGCACTTCTAGCACAGGAACACATTTGTGGAGCCCAGGTGTAAAGTCCACCTCCTGAACATCGCATTTACTCAGTGGTGTCCCGAGGCAGGTGCGGGGGGTGCGGTCCGCACGGGGTGACACTGGACCCGCTCCACAAAAAGGTAAGTTGTAAAGCAAGCCGACGATCCCCGCAGGATGGATCGGATCCATCCTGCGGGGATCGTCGGCTTGCTTTACAACTTACTTTTTTGTGGAGCAGGTCCGGTGTCACCCCGTATAGGTTGTATGCCAACGATCCTGTGGGGATCGTCGACATGCAACCTATACGGAGTGACACCGGTGTAGCGGCAAGATGTACCTCCCATGTAGATGTTCCCCCTGAAGCAACTGCGATGTCCCGGTTTCAGGCACGATTAATAGATGATAGAACTGCTATCATCGATTGATCGTGCCTGAAACCGATACATGCGGAGTTGCTTTGGGGGAACATATCTACATAGGACACATCTTGCCGCTGCACCTGGACCCACTCCAAGAAAAGGTAAGTTGTAAAGAAAGCCGACGATCCCCGCAGGATGGATCGGATCTGCGGATTGAGCATAATGGATCGGAGTCCGGGGATCGTCGGAGGGGGTGTCACCCAGTGTTACCACACTGGGTAACACCAACCCTAGGGACGCCTCTGCATTTACTGCATGTGTAACAAGGTCATAAATGGGTTAAAAAGGTCTCCTTGACAACATCAAAAAGATATACTACTGATCTTCTCTCCTGCTTTGGTGTGCACTGTCGGCAGTACTACAATACCACCGCTTGTGAAATTCTCTTTACTACAAATGAGCAGGAGAAGGTCTTCGTCGTGTCTCATGTACGACACCACATTCTTAGGACTTAGCAAAAAACACACAAATGCTAAGTGAAATCAGCTTGTTGGCTATTCAAAGTTATATGTTATAAAATGAAGGTTACACTTTAATTTGTTCTTACATGAGGACTTACCTCCTTGACAGCTTTTTTGTTTGCAACAGAGTGGGATCCAAGCATATATTTGAGGTTTTGTGCAAGATAGTCTTGTGGTGCATGTTTTTTATACTCCTCTGAGAAATAAGAGAAAAAAGCAATATTATTTAGGTGCCAGTTTATAAAAGCCAGTGCTATGCTATACAAATTATGCTTCGTGCTTTTGCTTGCTTCAGAATTCCAAAGCATTCATTTTCTTGTCAAAACCATGTGACTGGGCTCTGTCATGGTGTGCTCTGCTAGGAGTAAACACACCCAGCAGGGACAGAACAGCAACGAAAACCTGTACTGGAAGCAAGAGGAAATCATTGGCATTGTGGTGTTTACTTCTGTGATTTTCAGCTTCCAGGAGCATTGCCCAGTAATGGTATATACATAATTACATTGGTCCGAGTTGGAACAATGTGACTATATATAGCATGCAATGCCTGGAATACTTTAAAACAAATATGAGCAGATGAATTCAAGAGAAGATAGTGGCAGACAGGCTATGTTTTCTCAAAGTCAACTGTTTTTTTGTTTTTATGGCAAAAAAAAAAAAAAAAAAAAAAAAATGAAACCTGTCATGTACAGCGGTTATTGAGGTTATCTGCAGGTTCATATTCCTAAACTCTGAAGCATTTCCAGAAAGTGCAGACAATACCCTGTATCAATATTTTCTCCCGAAAGGAGATAAAAGCTTTGAAAATGTTTTGGATTACTAGGCATTAAATCCAACAACGTGCTTGCCACCTCGTGGATTTATCTTCTATTTACAATTCTTATTTTTACTTAGCGCTGAGAGCGTAGCTATACAGGTGAAACTCGAAAAAGTTGAATATCATTGAATTCATTTATTTCAGTAATGCAGCTTAAAAGGTGAAACTAATATATGAGATAGACTCATTACATGCAAAGCAAGATAGTTCAAGCCGTGATTTGTCATAATTGTGATGATTATGGCTTACAGCTCATGAAAACCCCAAATCCACAATCTCAGAAAATTAGAATATTGTGAAAAGGTGCAATATTCTAGGCTCAAAGTGTCCCACTCTAATCAGCTAATTAAGCCATAACACCTGCAAAGGGTTCCTGAGCCTTTAAATGGTCTCTCAGTCTGGTTCAGTAGGAATCACAATCATGGGAAAGACCAGAAAGCAGAAAACCATCATTGACACCCTCCATAAGGAGAAAGCCTCAAAAGGTAAATTGCAAAAGAAGTTGGATGTTTCCAAAGTGCTGTATCAAAGCACATTAATAGAAAGTTATGTGGAAGAGAAAAGTGTGGAAGAAAAAGGTGCACAAGCAGCAGGGATGACAGCAGCCTGGAGAGGATTGTCAGGAAAAGGGCATTCAAAAGTGTTGGGAACTTTCACAAGGAGTGGACTGAGGCTGGAGTTAGTGCATCAAGAGCCACCACACACAAACGGATACTGGACATGGGCTTCAAATGTTTTTCCTCTTGTCAAGCCGCTCCTGCACAACAAACGTCAGAAGCGTCTTACCTGGGATAAAAAAAAGCAGACCTGGTCTGTTGCTCAGTGGTCCAAAGTCCTCTTTTCTGATGAGAGCAAATTTTGCATTTCATTTGGAAACCAAGGACCCAGAATATGGAGGAAGAATGGAGAGTCACACACCGCAAGATGCTTGAAGTCCAGTGTTAAGTTTCCACAGTCTGTGTTGATTTGGGAGCCATGTCATCTGCTAGTGTTGGTCCACTGTGCTTCATTAAGTCCAGGGTAAACGCAGACGTCTACCAGAAGATTTTGGAGCACTTCATGCTTCCTTCCGCAGACGAGCTTTATGGGGATGCTGACTTCATTTTCCAGCAGGACTTGGCACCTGCCCACACTGCCAAAAGCACCAAAACCTGGTTCAATTGGCCAGCAAACTCGCCTGACCTGAACCCCATAGAGAATCTATGGGGCATTGCCAAGAGAAAGATGAGAGACATGAGACCGAACAATGGAGAAAAACTGAAGGCCGCTATTGAAGCATCCTGGTCTGCCATAACACCTCAGCAATGCCACAGGCTGATAGCTTCCATGCCACGCCGCATTGAGGCAGTAATTGCTGCAAAAGGGGCCCAAACGAAGTACTGACTACATATGCATGCTTATACTTTTCAGAGGTCTGATATTGTTCTATGTATAATCCTTGTTTTATTGATTGAATGTAATATTCTAATTTTCTGACATTGTGGATTTGAGGTTTTCATGAGCTGTAAGCCATAATCATCACAATTATGACAAATCATGGCTTGAACGATCTTGCTTTGCATGTAATGAGTATCTCATATATTAGTGTCACCTTTTAAGTTGCATTACTGAAATAAATGAACTTTTGCACGATATTCTAATTTTTCGAGTTTCACCTGTATGCTATGTTTCTGGTGCTGGACCTTCTGGTCTCTGCTCCAGAAGCTGCAGAGTCATATGGAGGGCAGGCAGAGCTCCTGTAATCAAAGAAACAAACCGAGGACGCACAGGCCTAGTGCATTACCTTAAAAATTAATTTATTGCATACAAAGTGGTAATATACTCACACAGGGTAAAATGTCAAAGGCACATCATATGAAGTGCAGCAAGGTCCAAAAACACTGGATGATGTCTGTAATGGGATATTTAGACCTCCAACTGCTTACGCATTTCAAAGCCTTGCCTCTTCCTAAGAACCAAGAGGCAAGGCCCAAAACGCATCCGACAGTTGGAGGTCTAAAGATCTTATTACAGACATCATCCAGTGTTTTTGGACCTTGCTGTACTTCATACGATGTGCCTTTGACATTTTATCCTTTGTGAGTAGATTACCACTTTTTATACAATAAATTAATTTTTAAAAAGGTAATGCACTAGGCCTGTGCACCCTCTGTTTCTTTGTATGCAGTTAATTTGGATTCCCCTGGTCCATTGAGGGCAGCAAGGCGTAAATCTTCTAGGCATCCCATGTATAGTTCCAGTTTCTGTGGAGTCTATCGTCCAGCGCAGAAGTATATGCTCATGCTACTTTTTGTCAGAGCTCCTGCAATACAAGAAGGCAGTGTTACTCCTCTCAGAGCACTGGGGAATAGTGACAGCTGGTCTGCCAGTGCTCAGTAGAACTGTCAGGTGTAGATTACAGAGATATCTCCATGAGGTGGCACACACCTCACTAGACTTAACCCATAGTCAGATTTTAGAAAGTGGCTGAATTCCTGGAATTCAGTTTGAGTCTTCATTTAATAACCTTTGCTACCGAGGTGCAGTGGAAGAACTCACAAGTTATTGCAACACAACTATTTTGTTGCTGCAAACATGACTCTTATGTTGGCAACATCATAAGATGTAACCAAACGCCCATCTACTATAGCAGCTGGGCGTTTGTTTACCTTTTAAGGTAAACTCCTGATGTTGCCTAAACAGTACCTGTCACCTGTAATATGCTATCACATAGGGGGCTCATCAGAAGTTTGCATTTCAGGGACATGCGCAGTTTTAAAACTTAACATATTTGGCATCCACTTACTTGACACAACCTCATATTTTTTATTTTACAAAAAAAAATGGGGATTATATTGCATTTGTCTGCTAAAAACGCAGATAATTTGCCTGTTCTTAATCTTCCCGCTCCCACTCCCCAGTTACCTGGGTGAACTTAGCCTTAGTCTTACCTATTGCTGATTTAATAACTCTGTTTTTGGCCGATGCTCTCTGATTTTGTGGCTGTCCCTGACGTTTCAGTTTTTGGAGCTGCTTCTTCATTCCTATTTTGTTGCTGCTCAAGGCTTCATTCTGCTTGTGCTTTCCTGGTTGCTTTTTGAAACCTAGATTTGCAAATGTAAAGAATAGAATGTTACAAAGTAAATAGGCCAACAGCGACCTGAAAGCCAAGCTGCACAACAGTACCCATGATAGGAGAAGGGAAATGCTTAGACAAATAGGGCTCCACTGTTCACTGAATAACAGAATAGAGCACCAACCTCATGAGAGCAAGGTGTCTTCGCTGTCCTGTCACGGGGGAAAGGTAACTATTTTGTAACACCACCAAACAGGAAGTAAAGCCTGCATATGTAGTGTGTGAATGCGTTGACGCCCAAACATAAAAATGTACCTTATCGAATTTTATTAACACTACATCAGTCTGTAGCCACCCAGGGCTTTCAAAAATTGAAAAAAAGTGCCCTTATAAACCTGACAACATTCAGAGTATTCTGCACATTCTTTGCGGTACACAACACCCCCAGATATGAATTTCCTGTTCATGTTAAAGGCTTTCTGCTTTTTCCAGCAATGGTTTTTCTTATTCCAGGAAAAATATTTTAATTATAGCAAACAGACACTCCTGCACAATATCAAGGACATTTTCAAAATAGAAGCACAGGGACTGAGGCAGCACAGAGACAGGACAAAAATAGACAAGTATAAAGAAGGTCACAAGAATGTAAGCATGATCATTTCCTCTATGATCATGTACAGTTAGGTCCATATATATGTGGACACAGACACAATTTTAGTTTTTTTCAGGTATTCACCAAAACATATTCAACCTATGGTTATATGATGATGTGGGCTGAAAATGCACACTCTCAGGTTTAATTTGAGGGTATGTACATCCAAATTGGAGGAAGGGTAGAGAAATTACAGCTCTTAAGAGTAGCCATCCCCCTTTTTCAAGGGACCAAAAGTAATTGGACAATTGAATCAAAAGTGGTTTCATAGCCAGGTGTAGGCTACTCCATTATTTCGTCATCAATAAAGCAGGTAAAAGGTCTGGAGTTGTGGTATTTGCATTTGAAATCTATTGCTGTGAACCTTTATCAAAAGGAGCTGTTCATGCAAGTAAAACAGGCCATTGTAAGGCTTCAAAAATGAAACAAATCCATCAGAGAGATAGCAGCAACATTAGGAGTAGCAAAATCAACAGTTTGGTACATTCTGAGGAAAGAAGAACACACTGGTGAGCTCAGCAACATAAAAAAGGCATGGACATCCACGGAAGACAACAGTGGTGGATGATCGCCGGATCCTCTCTATGGTAAAGAAAAACCCATTCACAACATCCAGACAAGTGAAGGACACTCTCCAGGAGGTGGGTGTATCATTGTCAAAGTCTACAATCAAGAGAAGACTTCATGAGAACTAATACAGAGGGTTCACCACAAGGTGCAAACCATTCATAAACCTGAAGAATAGAAAAGCCAGATTAAACTTTGCCAAAAAACATCTAAAAAAGCCAGACCAGTTCTGGAAAAGCATTCTTTGTAGAGATGAAACCAAGATTAATCTGTACCAGAATGACAAGAAGAAAAAAGTGTGGAGAAGGCTTGGAACAGCTCATGATCCAAAGCACACCACATCATCTGTAAAACACGGTGGAGGCAGTGTGATGGCATGGGCATGCATGGCTTCCAGTGGCACTGGGTCATTGGTGTTTATTGATGATGTGACAGAAGACAGAAACAGCCAGATGAATTCTGCAGTATTTAGAGATATATGGTCAGCCCAGATTCAGCCAAATGCAGCAAAGTTGATTGGACGGCGCTTCACAGTACAGATGGAAAATTATCCAAAACACACTGCAAGAGCAAACCAGGAGCTTTTGAAGGAAAAGCAGTGGAATATTCTGCAATGACCGAGTCATTCACCTGATTTCAACCCACTGGAGCATGCACTGCACTTGCTCAAGGGAAAACTAAAAGGCAGAAAGACCCACAAAGAACAACTGAAGACAGCTGCAGTTAGAGCCTGGCAAAGCATCAGAAAGGAGGAAACCCAATCTTTGGTAATGACCATGGGTTCCAGACTTCAGGCAGTCATTGCCAGTAAAAGATTCTCAACAAAATATTAAAAATTAACATTTTATTGATTAAAATTCAATTGTCCATTTACTTTTGGTCATTGAAAAAAAGGGGGTGGCTACTCTTAAGAACTGTAATTCCTAAACCCTTCCTCCAATTTGGATGTACATACCCTCAATTTAAGCCTGAGAGTGTGCACTTTCAGCCCACCTGTGTCTTTTATACACATAACGAGTTGTCGTTAGGAGAACCTTCTTAAATTGACAGAACTAAATCGGTGTACCACATGTGCATATAGCCAGTCTATGGGAGCAAGAATTATTGTTGGTTGGTAGGGGATCAAATACCTATTTTACTCACTCAATGGCATTAGCTGATTGGACAATAACAATTGGAGTTATGTGCATCCGAATTAACGAATGGAACTAAATTTGGATGCATTTGTCATTTTAATTATTGAACGAATTTGAAAATTGAAATTATTTCCCCATGGGACCGAACTACTATCATGTGACATCATCTGAAAGAAACAAATTTATTCTGTAATTTTGTTATAACTTTTTCTCAGATATGTTAACATTTGTTGCTATGTCCATTCGGAGATTCGTATACAGTGGTGTTCAAAATAATAGTCAGACATCACTAACCTTATCAATCACTGTTTTTGGTAGAAATGATATTTCTACATGGCAAATAATTTACTAGCAGGTGTAGTAGAGTAATAGAAATCCAACAGACCCAACAGTCATGACATGCATGCTGCTGATTCTGTGTAATTTAATCACTAATTGAAAAGGGGCATGTTCAAAATAATAGCAGTGTGGAGTTCATTAGTGAGGTCATTCATTCTTTGAAAAACAGGTGGCAATTATTGGCCTTAAGGAAGGAAGGCAGCAAATGTTGTACATGCTGGTTACAGTGCATTTCTCTCTGAAATTCTGAGGAAAATGGGTCGTTCCACACATTGTTCAGAACAACAGCGTACCTTGATTAAAAAGTTGATTGGAGAGGGGAAATCATAAAAAAGTGCAGAAAATGATAGGCTGCTCAGCTAAAGTGATCGCAAATGCTTTAAAATGGCACCCAAAACCTGAAAAACGTGGAAGAAAGCGAAAAACTACCATTCGAATGAATAGAAGAATAGCCAAAATGGCAAGTACTCGGCCAACAATCTGCTTCAGGAAGATCAAAGAAGGTCTCAAGTTACCTGTGAGTACTGTTACAATTAGAAGACGCCTATGTGAAGCCAAGCTATCTGCAAGAAGCCCCCGCAAAGTCCCACTGTTGAAAAAAAACACATGTGCTGAAGAGGTTACAATTTGCCAAAGAGCACATTGACTGGCCTAAAGAGAAATGGCGCAACATTTTGTGGACTGATGAAAGTAAGATTGTTCTTTTTGGGTCAAGTGGCCGGCGAGAGTTTGTCAGACGACCCCCAAACACTGAATTCAAGCCACAGTACACTGTGAAGACAGTGAAGCATGGTTGCGCAAGCATCATGATATGGGGATGTTTCTTATACTACAGTGTTGGGCCTATTTATCACATACCAGGGATCATGGATCAGTTTGAATACAACAGACATACCAGGGATCATGGATCAGTTTGAATACAACAGAATACTTGAAGAGGTCATGCTGCCTTATGCTGAAGAGGAAATACCCTTGAAATGGGTGTTCCAACAAGACAATGACCCCAAACACAACAGTAAACGTGCAACATCTTGGTTCCAGACCAACAAGATTGACGTTATGGAGTGGCCAGCCCAATCCTTGGATCTTAATCCAATAGAAAACTTGTGGGGTGACATTAGAAATGCAGTTTCTGAGGCAAAACCAAGAAATAGATAAGAACTGTGGAATGTAGTCCAATCATCCTGGGCTGAAATAGCTGTTCACAGGTGCCAGAAGTTGGTTGACTCCACGCAACACAGATGTACAACAGTTCTCAGAAACAGTGGTTATACAACTAAATATTAAGTGATTCAAAGGAAAGCAAAATCTTCAAACATTTTTCAGTTTATATAGTGAATGTTTGAGTTTGTAAAGAAGAATACAAACACTGCTATTTTTTTGAACAGTCTAATATTCACTTTTCTTCAATTTTTTTAGAGGAACAACACAAATTGGATATATTTTTCTTCATGTTTTGATTTGGAATAGAATGTGTAGTGTTCCCAATGCATTTGAGTGTATGGAAATAAAAGCTATTAGAAGGATTTTAAGCTTTATTCACTTTTTTCAACACACAGCTATTATTTTGAACACAACTGTACATCCAAAATCAACAAATTAAATTTTCATATGAAAAAGGAATAGTGATGAAACGCACGTGTGTATAGGAGGGTTTAGTTTAGCTTTAAAGGCTCGTTCAGACAGGCGATGAGATCTGCCCTCTGATCTTAGCTGCTGTCTGCTGCATGTGCATCCACCTCAGGCAGTGCCTGCATTTGAATCTGCGTACCCACTCCAGCATTTGTCAAAATTTAACATGTGATTGTATCTACATGTACATCCATGTCTATGGGTTGCCTGCATATAGCAGACAGCAGCTCGGACGATGGGTCTGATCACCTGTCTGAATGTACCCTAAGGATTCACTCACATATATACTGTATGTGTACGTTTGTATTTTCTGGAATGCAAGTTCCTGCTGGCAGAGGATCCTGCGTAAAATACTTGCCTAAAGTACTTACATTTAGACATGTACAATTCTTCTAATGACTTTATAAGTGTATGCATGGCACTTGATCACAGCTGTGTCCTACTTTTTTCATATGCTACTAAATGTGCAGCAGTTTCATTTTTTAGATGCAGCCAGCCCCACTGATTCCTATAGTGTTGCAAACATAGAAAACTGCATGCTATAAACATCTAAAAACCTGTGTCAATGAGCCCCATGACGTCTGAAAAGAAAACAGACTAGCAGCAAAAGGATTAACCACTCCAGCTCTGGAAGGTTTTACCCTCTTCGTGACCGAGGCATTTTTTTTTTGCTATTTAGCATTGTGCTACTTTAACTGGCAA